TATCTATCTATCTATCTATCTATCTATCTATCTATCTATCTATCTATCTATCTATCTATCTATCTATCTATCTATCTATCTATCTATCTATCTATCTAGCTATCTATCTATCTAGCTAGCTATCTATCTATCTAGCTAGCTATCTATCTATCTAGATAGCTATCTATCTATCTAGCTAGCTATCTATCTATCTAGCTAGCTATCTATCTATCTATCTAGCTAGCTATCTATCTAGTTAGCTATCTATCTATCTAGCTAGCTAGCTATCTATCTAGCTAGCTAGCTATCTATCTATCTAGCTAGCTATCTATCTATCTATCTAGCTAGCTATCTATCTATCTAGCTAGCTAGCTATCTATCTATCTATCTAGCTATCTATCTATCTATCTATCTATCTATCTATCTATCTATCTATCTATTATTAGAATTAACTCAATATAAATCGTTATGAACTATTAAAAAAAAAAAAAAACAACTATCAACTGTGCTTAAAAGCAGTTTTAATATAAATGCGTATGACATAGATGACAGTATACCACCGTCAAAACTAATGGCATAATTGTTCGTGTCTTTTAGAATATGTTAATCGTCTCATTACGAAAACAATTATTTAAAGACTACTACAACTGTTAAAATGACTTCATCTGATGCAATCGAAGTTAAGCGCTCCAGTAGCTATGGTACAGTCACCTGAAATACTTTTTAAAAACTTAGCAAGAATTTCGCTAACAATTATTTAGCAATGCAATAAAAATCCCATAATCCCCTTATCTTCTTTTGATGGTCTCAGTAATAATCATAATGGTCGGAGGATGCCTAACTAACGCACATATTGAGGGTCTGAGATTACTCTCTTATGAACCCGGCTGGTAAATTGGCTATCAACTCCATCTGTTGAGCTGAGCCATACAACATTTCCCTCAAAAAGGGTCCTCCAACCGCCCTGGCTTCCCCCGGGAGATCTAGTGAGGGACATTCAGTCAACAGATGCTCTAAGGTCTCTGGGGCCAGGCTGCAATGCCGGCAGGTAGGATCTCTGTGGTTATCCAGCCTTCAGAAATATGTGCGCAAGGGGCAGTGCTCGGTGTGCATCTGCGTCACTAAACTCTGCGATCTGCGACCTAACCCCCACCATGGGTCTTGTTTGCTAGGAGTGGGCAAATTCGAATAGACGCCTCTGGCGGTCGTGTTGTCAGCCCATTTCCTGTAACACGTCTGCCTGCAATGGTCCGCCAGCCAGTTTTTGACTCCCAAGAAAGTTATTGGTACTTCTGGCTGAGGCTGGGCAACCCCGGTTTTTGCCAGAGTGTCTGCTATCTCATTGTCACTGATGTTGACGTGCCCTGGTATCCATTGTATTGTAACCTTGCACCCAAGTTCATCAAGTCTGCATATGTCGTTGGTAATGACGTCGACCAAGCGTGTGGTACCATGTCTCTTCCCCAAGATCTCAAGAGCAGATCTTGAGTCCGAGAAGACAACTATATCAAGCCCCGCATGTTCCGTCCCATTTTAAGTGTCATGGACTCTCTCCAGGGCCATGTGCATAGCTTTGAGCTCCGCGTCAAAATTTGACGCTGTAGTCCCACAAGGCCCGAGAGTTCTTCAGTGGGTGGTCCTCCCACTGGATACTGTATGAGCGCACCTTACCCAGCAGTTCTTTTTCTCAGGTCGGCAGAGCCGTCCGTGAACACTTTCACAGGTATGTGAGCGAACACATCCATGGTCTCAAGGGCAGCCACTTTCTGCACATGTTCAGGGCTGCGTTTCGTCACTGCTGCATCAGTTAAGGCCAAATGTATGGAGGGACGTGAGGGTTCAGCATATGGCGGATTAACTGGGATTAGGGTCAGACGTTATCTATTTGGGGGCAGGGTGACTGTCCTTTCCAGCTCCACGACCTGGTGCATGAAAGAGGACCTCTTTAGTCTCCTGCCGCCCACCCAGTTATTCTGCATTTGAAAGGCTGGTTCGTTTTCACCGAGCCGTCGGTACCTCTCCACAGTACTTAATATGGACTTTTCCCTCCTAATTTGTAGTGGTTCTACATTGGACAAGACTTCTACAGCAGCTGTGGGAGTAGTCCTGTATGCGCCACAGATGAATCTCAGAGCCTGATTCTGGATTCGGCCCAGTTTTTCCAGTGCAGTCTTGCTTGCAAAGGATTGGACCGGCATGATGTAATCCATCACTGACCTTACACTGCTTAGAAAAAGAGCTCTAAGCGTACTTGCACCCTCAACCATAGTGAAAGGCGCGGTGAAGACTTCTGCATGCGGCCCCCAATTCTGGGCCACTTCTCCATTTTGCCGGAGACGGTTAAGGTTCTGGCTCTCTCTGGTCTCTATCTGCTTCCGATTGATCTTTGCAAAATGCTTGTTTAGGCCATCGGCACTTTTGGCATCTGTGGTAGCCGTGCCTGTCGTCGTTTGCAACGGACGCAGATTTCTGACCTTTCCCGTGCAGGATAATGAGTCCATTATTCAGACCTTTTTGCCGTCTTTCAGGTCGAGTTTTCAGCACGTACTAACCCATTTTTCCTTTTTTGCCCTATCAACCTCCTTCCGGACCTCTGCCGTCAGTCTGTTGTAAGCCGCGCGAGCAGCGGCCATCTTCAACTTTGCGCCTTTGGTCCGGGCTTTCTTTCATTCACGGACTATTTTTGCCAGCTTCTTATTCCAAAAAGGACGGAACTTGTGGTTCCCTTTAGTTCTCGGGATTTATTGTTTTGCCACCAGGAGGATACCACTCACAAAGTCGCTGAATGCATCATCAGTGTTCTTGGGTGTATTGGGGGTCTCAATTGATTCCGCAATCATACGTTCTTTTCGCTCCTGGAACAGGGACCACTTGGCTTTGCCAAGCAACCAGTGTCTCCTAGCACACCTAGGTTTTGCAAGCGCAAGACAGATTGTAATGAGGGTAGGTTTGTGGTCACTGCCAATCTCATCTAGTACTTTACACTGGGTCTTCGCCTCGAGCTCGGCTGAGACCAGTGTTACATCGGGGCGTGACATGGCACTGTGCCCGTGTGAAGCAGTGTAGGTTCACTGTCACCATTTTGCAATCTGATGAGATTGGTCGTGAGCTCAACCTCCTCTAGATAGCGCCCAGAGGCGTTAGTATCGGGATAGCCCATATCCCCCATATGGGCGTTTAAGTCCCCAGCTATAATCATATCGCTAAAGATGGTTGTGCCCTGCAAGGGCAGGCACAGAGTTTAGGAACAGAGTGTTTCTCGGAGTGTTGTAAATGTTGGTGATGGTAAAGGACTTACCACCTAAGACTACCCTCAGGGTCAGAGTACCTGTCCCACCAATGTTTTTTGCTCTCTACAAGCTCAGCTGTGAGGTGGTTTTTCACGAGAGTTACCAAACCTCGGCACCTTACGCAGGTGCAGCGGTAGACCGAGAAGCCCGTGATGTGCAATGGGTGCTTCTTCAGTAGGGTCTCTTGTAGTAGAGCCACGTCCACTTCCTGGCTGTGGAGTAATTTTGTGAGTTCGGTTATTTTCCCTCTGACCCCGTTGCAGTTAAGCTGCATAACTACTAGAGTTTTGGGGAGGTGACCAGCGGCACCTTGCCTAGTGCTCCCAGTAGCACAAAAGCCTACAGTCGGCCTGAACCCTGTCACCGATCTGCAGGTGAGGAGGGGATTCGAGTGCCCCTCAGTTGGAGTCATGTGTTTTTTACTAGCCATGTAAAAAGAATATTATCTAGGTTTTATTTTTTTACCTTCTCCCGGGTGAAAGTTACAAGTAACTTCCCCTTTCACCTTGGGAGACAGACGTAAGGACGTGAGTTTTTTAGCTTCAGGTAGTCAGGTCTACCCTACTAGTCCAATGCGCCACGTAGAGGTAAAACTCTTGCATAAGTCGGAGGATGCTTACTAAGCTCAATTCCAGAAACCTTATGAGGCCTCACTAAGACCTGACGCTTTTATAAGCTTACCGTGCATTGAATTAGAACCTGGAAGACCTTGACGAGGCAGGTAAGGACAAACAACCGATCGTCTTAAATTTAGTTTTTTCAGAAGTTCAGGCGCGATTCGTGAAGAAGTACAGCCTGTTGAGAAAAGTGGTTTAATACAGTTTTAGAAAGAAAGAAATGATAAGCTGGCATCCTTTAAGGTAAATAACGTTGAGACTTGAGACACTTTCTCTAGACTACGCGGATCTAGTATTCAAGCATTTGTCATAGCTCAAAATATGTTTCTTCCACGGCACAGAATCTCAGAAACAATTATATCAAAACCATTTTGCAAAACTTTTCATAATAACTGACATCTAACTACTAATGACAAAAAAAAAAGCAAAACTACAACGAGGATACAACACAAAACTTACCTGATGCGCTAAGATATTGTGAACATATGACTTCAGAATTATAAACGATCGTCCAGTTTCCAATCTTATTTAGAGTTTCGTTTGAAATATCGTAAATGTCTAGATCTAAGTTTATTCTACCAGTTGTCAGATTCTTTGAGGTAATATTTATTTGGTACGGTAAAAAGTTTAAACAATCTTCATTTAAAAGATTACATACAATTACGGTTGTGTTAACTATTTCAACAGAAAGTGGCACATTTTCTGAAGATACCCTCATATTGCAATCGAACTTTATGCTGTATGGTACTGGTAATTCCTCCTCAACATGTTTACAAGTTTGCAAATTTGTATCTGAAAAACATTAACATTGTAGGATATTAAAACTTATCAGGATTACGATCAGCTCTTGTTGTAGTATAAAGACACATTATCAAGAAATATTTTTCAAATAATAAGGGATGGTTTCGGATGTGATCTAGATCTTATTTTTGTACACTACTTAGATGAATAGAAGAGATCCGAAATCTCCGAGCACTGCATTATTTTTTTCCATTCATGGATATAATTCACAAGTAAAGAAATATTCTAGCTAATTTCCAACCAGATGGGAGCACGATCTACGTGACCATTGACCACCCATGTAAAAATAAATATTAAATGCAAGAACTAAAAATAGGATTTAACTGTAAAATTGGCTTTAAATGTGAATAAGAAGACGTTAAATGGAAGTACCACTTTTCAAGAAGTAAAAATTTCAATTCATTAATGAAACACTAGAGATAATTGGGCAATATCGTACCTAGGCCTTTTTTTAACATATGCATTTTACTCAATTTAGTGGTTGTAGCCGTATATTCAATTGGTGCTCTGACTTACAAATCTGACGCGCCTTTATGATTGACTCCATCAACATGAAATGAGATGTCTCAAAGATGTTCACTGTGTCTATTTAAAAATGTTAGTCCCTTCTTCAATATATAAAACAAGTAACTTATTCGGCAAAAAATGACTTTAATCACATGTTGACAAATACATAAGATGCGGTCTGCCTTAATGGTTAAGATGCCCTTAGAAAAGTTACATTGTTTAGATGCAAGTACATACGTGCAAGTCTTGCAAAGATTACTAGAACATTAATTAGTCCAAACGTATGATCAGTTGGCCAAGCGATTCTCAGCTGTGGGTCGCGACACCTGTGGGGTCTCATGAGAGAATCGGAAAACACGTATGCTCTGTAGCAACGAAAATAATTTTTTGGTTGGTGGTCGCCACAACATGACAAACTACATTATATTGGCGTGGCATTAGGATGGATTAGAACCACTATGTTAGCCAAGAGGCGGTTCTAAATGGATTGTCACCTATATTTAATCACGTCTTAAGACAATAAGAGTAGGAACGAGAAATTATGATTGTGTTTGGTATGGCAGTACTACATAACTATTTCAATTTTTAATTTTTTTTTTTAACAATTGGATTGTCATGGTGAAATGTAGAAATGTAGAAATGGGGTTTGTTTGACTATCGTTTTCACTTGAACTGTTCTTCTTTGCAGATGAACATGTGGCCAGGCTGAGAAGATTATGCAAGTAAGAAAGATACGTCTGGGGGCAGGATCTAGAGATAAAAGAGCAAATCATCGAATGTTTCATTTTTCGAAAGCGTTCATAAGTCTGTCAAAGGGGACGTATTCGAAGCTGTGAGAAATGAATATAACATGACCCACGAGTGGAAGAGGTGCAGAGTATGAGGCAGTAACTAGCTTTTGATTTATAGTAGGAAACATTGGGTAGCACGCACTCATTAAAAAAGAGAGGGAGAGAAATTTAAATAAAAAGTTATCACTTTTAATCAAAATAATTTAAATTATAGGTTTAAAAAAGCTTAGAGAAATGATGAGTAATTCTTAATCTGTAAAGTAAGATTTAAAAAAATATTATTTGTAAACTTCAAACTTTGGTCATGAAACTTTTGAAATAGAAAACATATTTTATAATTTGAACCATTATACTATATCTTGATGACATGTGTTGTTTTAAAAAAAAATATTCCAAAGAAAATTAAGGTAAAGTGCAACAACGACTTACGACCTGTTGAACTTACCTCTATTGTCATGAAATGTTTTGAGAAAATAATTCTGAAAGAAATTTTGAATGAAGTACAACAAAAATTGACCCCCGTCCATTTGCTTACAAACCTGCCAGAAGTACGGAGGATAATCTTACTATTGTTGGAGAGACTTTACCATCACCAAGGCAGTTCTAAAACATATGCCAGAGTGCTTTTCATAGACTTCTCATCAGCCTTTAACACTATTTATTTATTTAGGCATTTGTATATAGCGCTTACCATAAAGCTCTAAGCGTTTTACAATTATTAAAAACATGTAAACTAAGTAAACAAAAAATGAGACACTAGGACAGCAACTACCATACTATAGAAACAACGAAAATGGCTATAAAACTAGGACACTTTGACACGTTTTTGGCCCATACTTCAGGATCAACCCGAAACAGAAAATGAGGCAGGGCAAGGAGGGTGCATCACAGGTCATAGGCGGACCTAAACAGGTGAGTTTTAAGGGACTTTTTAAAAATGGACGAGGTTTCACAATGACGGATATGGAAGGGGAGCTGGTTCCAGAACTATCCAACCACACCTTATGATAAAGAAACTTCCCTCTTTAGGTGTAAATTTAAATATTCAGGTTTGGATACTGAACTTTTTAACAAATCAACCACAATACGTCAAAGTAAATAACCAATTATCTCTAACCAGAGAAATAAGCACCGGGGCACCACAAGACTGCGTTCTCTCTCCTGTACTGTATACACTATATACAAATGATTTAAAAATCTCATTTAAAAATGAATAAAAGCTCAAGCGACACCGTTCCAATCTTAAAATTTGCTGATGATAACACCATTGTTGGCTTACTATCTGAAGGAGAAGGCCAATACCGTAACTTAGTTACAAGCTTTATCAATTGGTGCGATGAAAATTTTCTCCAGTTGAATGTCTCAAAAACAAAAGAAATGGTTGTTGATTTCAGGAGAGGGAAAAACCAGATTACAGATCTCAACATAAAAATCAAAATGTGGAGAAAGTGGAAGCTAACATGGCATGAGCACAGCCAAATATTGTATAAGAAATTCAACCAAAGACTGTTTTACCTAAATAAAAACTGTACAATTTTGGCGTAAACAAGCAAGTCGTTACCTTATTATACAGTGCAACTTTGGAAGCATGCTTAATTTCAGTATTACTTCCTTGTGTGGGAATTCAACGTCTGATATTAAACACCTTATTAATCGACTAATCAAGAAAGCTAGAAACATAACACAAACTAAACATCCTTCACTTGAAGAACTATTTGAAGAATGATGTTTTTGTATAACTAAACACATTTTGGATGATACATCCCACCCTCTTCATCACAGATACTTAGGATCGTGCCGTTCGGGACGAATTCTTTCCATCAGGGCGAGGACTGACTGATATAAAAATTCTTTTGTTCCCCAATCTGTACGAATTTACCAGCGTGCTTGTCTGAAGTCACACATCTGAATGAGTCCCCGATTTTGCTAAAATAACTCACTGAATGGCTGTTTGAAATAATTTATTATAAATGTCTTGTGTTCAATTTGTTTTATTTTTATGCTGAAAATGTATAATGCAATCAAAAAACATTTCCATTTTTTTTAATCAATAAAAGAATCTTATATTTAGATAATCAGGGGGTGGCAATGGCAGTGGCTAGATGCGTAACTTTAGAAGGGGTGCTAAAATCGGCTTTGATGCTAAAAAAAATTGTTGGTTACAGAGTTGAGTGGTGCCTACATAGTGAATCTGTCCCCTGACGTCAAACTCACTAGCTACGCCAATGCCAGTGGGATAGAAATTCGGCGGACGGGATGGACCACACAGATGTCACTATTTCTTTATATGGTGGTGTTTTAGACAAACATGCACCACTGTCCTAACGGTGTGTTACAGACCGCCGTTCTGCCCCATGGCTCACGCCCGAAATAAAGAACTCGAAGCAGAAGCTGCGACATGCAGAATGCAAATGCGAAAGTCTGACTTGACCATGCACTGACAAATCTTCTTGATTACAAAGAACAACCTAAGAAGTTGGTCCTTGCAGCTAGGACTGAATATGTCAGTCACCATATTTTAGGTTATGGCTAAAGTAGGGACTTATTTTGTCTTGTCAGTCAGCTGACAGATATACAAAAAGACACATCTTTGCCAAAATAACATTGCTGTAGGTGAGTTGCCAGACGCTAAAAATGATTTTTTTTTTTTACGAAAGTTACGAAAATCAGGGTGAAATTTGACATTAGCACAGATGCTCCCGAATCTAGCCGTTTAATGGCACTCCTATGAGCGAATTTTTAGACGTCACTAAATCGGATGTGAAGAAAATCCTTGTTGACTCCCCTAAAAATTGATGTTTGCTTGACCCTCTTCCTTAAGGACTGTTGTACGAATGTGTGGATGAAATAGTCCCTATCATAACTAGTATCATAAATCAGTATTTGAAAATTGGTATTGTTCCATCCTCTTTTAAGAGGCAGTTGTAACTCAACTGCTAACAAAAGCAAATCTTGACGCAAATATGTTGGAAAATTATCGCCCCGTTTCAAATCTATCATTTGTATCCAAAAGTTTCGAGCAAGTTTTTCTCCGCAAGCTCCTGAACCACCTCACTCAGTGTGACTTGTTTGAGCCTTTCCAGTCAGCATACAAGGCGCATCACTCTCCTGAGACAGCCCTGTTGCGTGTCGTAAATGAGTTTCTCTAGTCTTTAGGTGAGGGCAAGGCATCACTTTTGTTATTACGTGATCTATCGGCATCGTTCGATAAGCTTGACCACGGCATACTTCTCCAGGGTCTGCAAAAAAGTTCGGTTTTACCGATACCATCGTGAGATATTTCCACTCGTATCTGACAAATCAGGTCCAATCAGTTGTCGCAAACGGCTTCACCTCGAAGCAATCAATTATCAAATTTGGAGTACCCAAGGGCTTGGTCCTAGGCCTGTTACTTTTCAACATATACGTTCAGATCCTGGGTGCAGTGATCAAGCAGTTTGATATGCTATATCACATGTTCGCGGATGGTACTCAACTTCAGCTGTCCGTGATCCCCTCTCAGTTCCCTCCGCTTCTTAGTATGACACAGAAGACAATGGAGTCAGTTAAGTACTGGATGAAAAAAAACACGCTCAAATTGAACAACGAAAAGACCGATCTGAAACCCATTGCTACCGTTCAAAAGCTACAATCTATAAATAACACACCATCCCTTACTCTCGCAGGTATACAGATTGTGTTTGCTCAAACATTGCGAAACCTGGGTGTTTACTTTGATAGAGCACTAACTATGGAAAATCACATTAAAATGCTTTGCAAGGTGATTTTTCTAGAGCTGCGCAGAATGAGTCTTATCAGACCTATCTGAACGTTTGATGCAACAAAGAGACTGATGTCTGCATTCGTGCTATCATGCATGGACTACTGCAATGCTCTCATGGTGGGTCTTCCTTGTTACGCTCCTGGATAAAATTAAAAAGCACAGAAAAATGCGGCTCGCATTGTTCTTCGCAAACGCAAATTTGACCACGTGAATACACTTCTAAGAGATTTGCATTGGCTGCTGGTCCACGCTTGCATAGTGTACACAATTTCAACTCTGTGCTAACGCTACTTGCATGAACTGGCACCGTCCTATCTCAAAATGCTCCTGATGTATTAACTAGACAGCTCCGCTCATCCGGTATTGGCAAACTCTCGATACCACGTGTGTGTCTGGAGACTTATGTAAGGCACACGTTCTCATTTGCTGGCCCAACACTTTGTAACACACTTCCAAACGCTCTCAGAAACAGCTAGACATTGAAGTCTTTCAAAACCGAATTTAAAACTCATCTATTTTGCAAACCCCTGCTGGGTTGATGTTTTCTACCATCTTTACCAGATGGTTATTATTTCTTAGATTTATATTGGCCTGTATTGTTTATTTTTGCAAGGGATAAAAGACTTAAAATGGGTGATCTCGTATGTAGTTTTTGTAATGTTGCGTTTTGTATTTCCATGTTGTATAATATACCGCGCTTCGAAACTTTGGGGATAAAGTGTTATTTTCAAAATAACTTTGTTATTATTATTTTTATTATTAGAATGTTCAGACAACTGAAGCGTTTATATCTTAAAAAGGAGAGCATAAAAAATCATTGGCCGCAAAAACTACGGCATTAGTACTAGCTACGCCAGTAGGCGTTTTAATTATAGATTGCAAAATTGTATATTATTTTCAGCGGGAAGTAGGGCAGAAATCGAGGGCACCGATGCATCTTGAGCAGAGGAGGGATCTGAGGAACCTTCTCCCCAAAAATGTTTGATTATTTCAAATTCAATTGGTGCATTGGGTTTTATACTTGAATAATTCAAATTTTTGAACGGGGCAAGAAACTTTTTTAAGGGTCGGGTGGGGAGTGTAATTATGTCGCCCAGTGCATACATTGACTGAATTTACTCCGATTGTGATGTGCATCCTTTAATCACTTAGAACAAACTTTAATTTGACCCCATACTGTAACATTGATCGGTCTGAGGAAACGGGGTGAAGAAATTGAAGGCGCTGAAGACTATCTGGCAAACACAAAACGCAGGAGTGTATTTTGGGGCATACTTGGATTCGGCGTTTCTTTGATACTATTTTGAGGTGGCATTTCCAACTTTCGGTTGTGCAAAAATCAGCCATAATAAAAAATACATCTCTAGCTTCACACCAGTAGGACATGAAATACATTAATTCCATTTGTGTCGATCTTGGTTGTATACATTTACCCTAACGTGTTCTCGCTTCTTAAATCTTTATAGTCACCAGAAAATGTTTGATAAAAACAAAATACAAAGAATGCACATAGCCCATTTAAGTTTTTCAACATTCTACAGTTGAAATATTTAGGTGTCACTCAACCTTAGAATCATCTTTTGAGCCTGGCAGACGCTACGACTGAAACGTGCCTCAGATATGTTAGGGGTTTAAAGATTTGAATTAGGAACATTTTTAAACTACCATCTTTCCATGCAATATTGAAAAACGGCAGGGGGCCTCGAGATGTCGAAAAACGGCTTGGCTTGCCCTTTTTTTTGTGTGTGAAAAATTATCAATTTTTTAAAGGTTTCATTTGATCTAGCATAAAATACATGGAATCAGTACATTTAAAAATCATGCTAATAACAAAAATTTTTAAACCTTAATGCCATAATACATTTTATAATTAACACCTCTCCCCACTTCAAAATACATGCCCTAATGATGATTATAATTTGAAAATAGATTATTCATGTTTGATAGTTTTCAAGAACAATCATTAAAATTTTAGTTTTTTTTTTTAAATTGATGTAAAAGTATTTTAATACAGTGTTATGTAAGTCTGTAAAACTTGTGAAGTTGCAAGAAATAAATCAATAAAATGCCAATACATGCTAAAAACGAGATTTAAGACTTCTGCTTGTAATCATATACGGCCAGTACGATATTTATAGTCAAATATGTCAGTTAGCAACACAATTAGCCTCAAGTATACGGATTTTCAAATAAAAATTTCGTAGTAAAATTTATATTATCCACTTATTGTAATCGGTTGAAAGCACCAGTTACTATTCTTTTTAAAACAGTTTAAACACATTAAATTCTCCATTGAGACACTTGACTTGCTCGGGATATGCCCCCACGACCCGAGAGATTCCTGACAGAAACGCTGCTAATGACCCTGTCAATGAATTCGTACACTACGGATTTTTTAAAATTGTGATTTATTTTATGAACATCAGGTAAGTACTGTACGGACACAAACGTGTTGACTCGTACACATTGAATCAGCTACCTTTATTTTTAAACTGTATCGTAGCAGATACCCGAATAAAAGATAAATCTTTATTTAACTATGATGCAATTATAAGAATATTTTAATAAACAGTTAATATTTAAAAAAAAAAATTAAAAATTATTTTTTAAAAACGCTAACAACAAACCTATAGGTAGATCCTTCAAATTTTGAATAAAAAGCCGCTTTCTCTTTCCACATATTTTTTGATGCAATCTAACATGTACTTTCTCACGAATTTTCTGTTCAATCGGTATTTTTAAGTAACATAGGGATTGATAGTATGTTATATTTCCTGGTAACTCTATATGGCTATACAATATCTTGCTGTTTGAAAATATTGATTGATTCTGTGGGAGAAAAAAAAGAGAATTAAAAAGAGAAAATCAATTTAAATGTATAGAAATTAATTAAATTTAATCTGACTGATTTTTCTGCATTTCAAAGCATAAGCAATTTAAAAAAAAAACCCTGCAAATTGAAGTAAAGAAAAAAAAAGGAACGTCATAATAAAGTATGGGAATATCATTCTGAGACGCTTTATAACATAAGCAGTTGGCAACAATAATAAAACTAAAATAAAGATATGCATATCATAATTATGATAACCTTGTGCTCTGAACGAAATTCACAGACTATCTCTGGGTGTACATGAGTCGTCACACATGTCAGCTTCAGGACATTATTGCATGTCTCACTTGTGCAACAAACATGTGGAGCTTCGGCTGCGACATAAAAATATAATAATAAGAAGAAGAAATTTGTTAAATACTAGTAAGCCCACAAAAAATTGGCAGCCGAAATGATTAAACTTCCAAAAACTAAAGCTACTTGAAAAACATGCAAATAAGTAACGCACTTTAAAAGCTTTTCATTTAGTGCCCCCGCTTCCAGCTTCACAAACGCACATTTCTTTCATGCCCTTGAACTCTATTAATATTTTATGTCCTAATGTCCTATCCCTTGTGATACCACATATTTATAACATAATATTAAAAGGAGACTATGTCGGTAAAACAAAAAAAAATAAATATTACACACAAAACGCATTTTTAGCGCGGTTATGGAAAATTTTATTTCGTTAATCAGTGTCATCTGGTTGGTTAGTTACATGGAGAAGTATGCATTATGATTGAGTTTAAAATAGTATTAAAGCGTTATAAAAATGATCAAGGACAGTTTTTTTCTATCCTACAGAGAGATAATTGGCTACGATGAACACAACCACCTCCAAGCAGGTTTGAATTGCCTTATGAAATGGGCTGACAAACGAGGCATGGAATTTAACGAAACCAAATGCTACACAATGAACATCTCAAAAAGAAAACGATAAACCTATATATACTCTCCAAACTAGACCATTCTCCAACAATGGTCAAATAATCCATACCTTGGAATTCTTTTCTCTAATAATCTAAAATGGTCACCCACATATAAAAAAAAATTCAGAAAAGGCTAACTCCACACTTGGTTTCATTCGAAGAAATCTGCGCCACCTTCATGCAAACGAAATGCCTATCTCGCACTCGTCCGTGCACTAGCAGAATATGGTGCGATTATCAGGGACCAATAACAAAAGCAAGACGTGAACACAATGGAGCGAATGCAACGCAACGCATTGAGCTTCATCGCAAGTGACCACAAATCCACAACTCCTGGCTTCGTCACTGACCTCTTAAAAAGATTTGACATGCCCTCCCTCAAAGACAGGCGAGAAAAGCTGCGTCTAACATTTCTCTATAAAGTGGTCACATGGCTAGTGCCGGCCATTCAAGCTAACACTTATCTAAACCCGTAGAAGCCGGGTCGCTTAATCAGAGCCAAACAAACAATAAACACTGACTTCACCTCTGACAACTCCATGAGCAGTTAAATCCGGAACAATGATAAATGCTTCATAGTGCCTTAATGTAACACAATTCAATCAAAACAGTCATTCTTCCCACGAACAATAATTGCTTGGAACCAAATGGACAATGCCGTCGATGACTCGAAATCTGTCTAGAGTTTCAAGGCTGCCCTGGCACCCGCTAGGAGCGGTTAGGACGGCGGCATCATTTCCCAAACGGTTGCACATATGGCAGTACTTGTTTGCAGCACCGTAGTCTATCAGAACCAGTCAGTCTATTAGTGCCGTTACAGCTCTATAATATTATATGTTTTTTTTTTGAAGCTCAGAAGGCTGCTAAGGAATATGTCATTGTATTCGGTTCAGGCCAAACATTAATTGTAGATAAATACCAAATCGCTTTACATTATTAAGTTGAGTCTGATGTGCACATTGGTTTTTACCCTGCACTTTGTGTACTCATGTTGTTTAAATCTCTGTTACAGAGGCACTTCATTCTGTCAAACTTGGTAATTTAACATGATCTTATCTGAGGCTAAAACATGTTTTCGAGCCAGAACACATCCAAGCTTGTTTTTGTGTCTCTTTACATTTCTTAATTTAATTTTGTAGTTATTTTACAAAAAAATGTAATGCTCAATCATTGGGCGATTTAAGCATTAACTGTTACAAAGAAATGAAATTGTTCGTGACAGTATTCTTAAGATCACATAATGGTTTTCTGTGCAAAATCAAACTTGTCTTGCTAAAACCATAGATTTCTAAAGAAAACACCATTTTTTCATTAAATTAAAGAAACAAAAAATGTTACTTATAATTTTTTTTAAATTTATAGTATAGAGCAGCGTTTCTCAATCTGTGGGTCGTGACCCCTTTAGGGATCGAACGACCCTTTCAAAGGGTTCGCCTAAGACAATCTAAAAACAAATACACTCTTCAGGTAGGAAGTGGCAACGAAATAATTTTGTGTTTGGGGGTCGCCACAACATGAGGAACTGTATTAAAGGGTCGCGGGATTAGGGAGGTTGAGAACCACTGGTATAGAGGGATAGCTGTAATAAGTACAAATGGAAATATTAAATGGAAATATTAAAACTAAAATAACCTACTGGCGTAAGGCTTAAAACTAACATGGTCTTGTTTGCCCTGCAGTAGACACAATTTTAACATCGCTGAACTTTAAATGTTCATTTTTTCTTCTCATCAGCGCACTTCCTATTCATTTGCCGTGTTCATTTTCGTACGCTCATATTGCTTATATTACTTTGAAAATACTGCGAAGAATTAAAAAAAAAAATAAAAGCAAATCCAGAGAGCTGGGACAGCTAGAGTCTATGAGTTTCATTTTAAAATACAAAAATAGCCATTGACACAAACAAATGTTTAGTGCTATAAATATTATGAATCTATGTCAATTTAAAAAAAAAATATTATATTGAAATGACACTCCCGAAATAACAACTTACATATTATATGTAGAGTACAGGAAGACACCGTCTTTGTTTTGTTCCTGACGATCCATGTCCCGTTAGCGTCCACGTATAATTTGTCTCGATTGACGTTATAAAATAACAAATTAATTGAGGACATTTTATTTGAAATTTCAACCTTCAATATTTTAGGATAAAATACTGTGCATGTGCCGTTCTTCATATCACAATTAGCGGCCGTGACCCCCGCATCACTGTTCTCAATGGTTAGGTTTGTAAAAGTACCATGTAAGTTGAAATTGAATGTAACATTGTATTGGCTTCCCTCAGTTGCAGAGTGGCAATCAATTGCATAAATCTCTGAAAAATAGCACGTTTTATCTCTTTTAAAAATAATACAAAAATATACATTTTTTGTTGTTATTATAGTTGGTCAGTCAAAATTGATTATGACCACCATAATCATCATGAATTATTTAGTTCGCAGATGGTTGCTAAAGCCGATTCTGCCACAAATTGTTCTTGTGGAGTAAGTGCATGGGATTTTTGTACTTCTCAAGGTGCAGTGTTAATCCGGGCTTTTCTGGTATATATGTTGTACTCTGCAGCCGCTGTTCAGTTAGCTTCATGTTATATTGAACCTTAGTGTACAGAGTAGACCACGCTGCTCGATCCTTTGCCGCTTCTACCCACGTGTCCGTGTCTATATCAAACGCTTTCAGTGATGCTGATGGAATGAATCATGGTTAAATTGACACATGCTGTGACTTGGATTTAGTGAGGAAGAGTCTCCCAAGTCGTCAGCCCCAACCTCTCGCCTAACATCATTTGGTTCCAGCAGGTTGACAAGTCGAGACGTTTGGAAACAGGATCGGGTGCAATGAATGACCATGGCGTTCTACGTGTCTAGCCGCGCTCAGGGTGACTCACACAGCATTGCGTCTTCGCTTTTTTTACATTATACGTGTGTGTAATAGATATAATTTCAGTATTTTAAAAAGACAAAAAGTAATGAGACATTTTTTTTTCTTGGCCTAGTATCTGGATTTAGTATTTTTACACATTTTCTCGACCTACCATCGTCTTTTATTAGTTCCATGGAATTCGATCTACATATCTTCATCATTAAAATTAGGCTTTTCAGAATAAATTTCATGATTGCTCTTTTTGCAATTGGTTCTAAAACTAAGTCTTAGCAATTGCGCCTCACTTTATCTTAAATTTAACATCAAGTTCATTTCCTGCTATTGTTTTTGCCGTAGAAGGGTTAACATTTTCACCAGTGAATATGTATTTAGAGAAAGGTGGCAGTAAAATTTAAAGGGAAGCTATATGTCTTTAAAAAAATTGATATACTTTTCACCTGAATATTCAAATTTTTTTTTTTAAGAAATCAAGAAAGGGATTCCTAAAATTGTAGAGGGTTATTTGTTTGTTTGTTTGTGCTACAATTATGGATGTACATGCAAATATTTAAAATGGAATCTAATAAATTAACAATTACCTTTTACTTCAAAATCAGATTTCTGTACAACACTGCAGCGTTTATGAAACGTAGCTAGTATTCCATAATATAACTTCTCGGCGCTAGTTCACAGCATGGAAGCAGTTATATATATTGACATAACTATTATTTGTTGTTTCAGGTTCATGAGTTTAGATTTGATTTAACGTGCAAAGTTTTAACCTACCCTCTTATTCTGTTAATCGTGGCAGGTATCAAGAGAAATCTTGACTTATCATTTTAAAGAAGTTTATGATCATGATCCCGATCCAAGAGCTACGTGAGCAAGTACTTTAGCTTCGAGGCCCAAGTTAAAAAAACTGAAAACTCTGAAGCTGTTTCTTAACAGTATAAATTGTGTGAATATAGTTTGGTGTCTTTGGGTGTTGCGTTACCGTTACTTCTTAGATGATACATTTTCATTGTTTCTATAGTATAGTAGTTACTATCCTATTGTCTCATTTTTATTTTACTTAGTTGACATGTTTTTAATAATTGTAAAGCGCTTAGAGCTTTAAGGTAAGCGCTATATAAAAATGTCTAAATAAATAAATAAATACATCGGTGTTTTATCCATTTAAGGGGCGGATTTATTTATGACATGTGCACAGGTCAAATATTACAATATTTACGTATACTTTGAGACAGTTTATTGGATCTTTGTTTTTTTTTTAATGTTAATTTTCAGCTGATTTAAAAGCACTATTTCGTGTCAGAGTAGTGATACATGGATATAAATATAGATAAAGAGGACATACAAGAGCAGCCACATTGTATTAAATGAAGATTTAGTTATGAAGACAAATGGTCTCATGTTATTTTCTGAAAGAAATTTATTTATTAATGATTGAACTGTAATCATTATACATTTCATCAGCAGTGATATTTATTCTGTGTATGATTATGCATAAATAAATTATTGATATGTGAATAACGTGACTTCTTATTATTAAATTTGTGACAAATATTTTAGTAGTTAACCCCAAACTGATACTCATTACGGTATCCGCTCAGGCCAAAACAACGTATAACAGTAATAGCAGTATAGGAAGAATTGGTAAAGTATTGTTATTATTTCCATAAATGTACCTTGAAATTAAATGACCTTGTGACCCATAAAAATTAGTTTGAAACATCTTTTATTTTGAGGGCTCACAGTTGGTAACCGTAATTTTAACAAACAAAAGTGTAAATAAAAAGTTTGTTTCTAAAGAAAATACCTCTACAATTGTGTGATATTATTCCGCATTTGATTAAAAAAGCTGTAGAAAACATAAGCGTGTTCCAAAATTGATGCATCTTGTTTTCTGTAAAATATAAAATTACATAATTATTGGTTCATGTGGTTAATTATTTGACGCTCTTGTTTATTTAGAATAAAGATGTAATTAAGCCAAACTTGTATTTTTCAATGAAGTTTTGGGCAATCCTTTATTTTTATTAAAACAATTTTATATTTTTTTACTTTGTCATTATTTTATTTTAATCTCTATCTCCCTCCATCCTATCAACATTTATCTTTTATCGAGCTGTACCTCTCTCTTATATTTATATATATATCTTTAAACTTATTAAATTCAGGTAAGTTGAGTAAATCTTATAGTATAATAATACATTGGGATATTTTTAATGAGTTGCACAGTGTTCAAACTATTTCCATAATGTAACACAAGCTTTTCGGTAGGTCAAATTAAGAATTTATTTTAAACTCTACATTTGAAAGAAAATATAGTTGTGTTTTAAATTTTTCATAAAAAGAATTTTTGTGACAACTGGTTTTGGAAATATCCATAAATGTTTTTGGTTTTATAATATTTTGATGCTTACTCTCATATAAAGTAAAATAGTTATTTTTCAACTGTAAATATGCAACTGCGTCCGAGCAGCATTCTAAAGATGTTATCAAACAGAAGTTTCAATTAGTGAACTTACTATTTTTTTACAACACGTATTTTTGTATTTAATTAATGCACTCCGATATATTGGAACATTAATATTTATCCATATAGAAGCAACGCGCCATTTTGTTTGTATGCAATTGAACCATGGTAACAAGGATCAATAATAGAAAATAAAGTAGGGGTTACGTGAAAAAATTGACGAGCAAAATGTCTTGATTATTTATACAAACTATTCTTTATGGGATCATTTAAGTTTTTACATTTATTTAAAATTATAAAAAAAACTTTTTTTTTACAAACAAAACTGTATTAAGTAATATATTAATTAACATAGCGATAGAGTATAAATTACAAATGTTGAAGTTTGAGGCTGAAAATTTGAGATTCATATGACACTATGGGATACAAATATGCAATTTATTTAAATTAACAAAAGTAAATAATAAATACAATTGAAAAATGATAAAATGTAAATAAAATGGTTAAAAAAATTGCTCTCTCAATTATCATAAAGGCGATACATAGGTAAACTATTATACCTGAAAATTCTGATTATTTTCCAAATATTTTTAGAGTAACCATGGACCGGATCAAGCTCCAGCAAGATTAAAAGTGGGGCACTTTGTTTTAAATAAAAATAAATTATGATAAAAGTAATATCGGGAAATCCCTTTAAAATTTATAACTTTTCTTAGGAAACATTCTACGTAATTTGCAACATTCTTAACTAATAAATCTACATACTATATTGTTGGACGAACTATTTTTCCAATATAAACAATTAGTCTAATAAGTGCCTTGAGATTTAAAACTTGAATAAGTAATTGTTGCGTTCATGGTCAGTGAATAGCATTTTGGATAATCGACATTTGTAAAATCGTCGTTCTACTCTACCCTTTAAAAAAAAAATAACCTAATTAATGTGTAGATACTTTAAACCATGCAGAAAGTATAATTACATTTGGAATTTTTATACTGAATGTATGAAGATACAAATTTACTTATGCCACCCATTATGGTTACTGAACCCCATATGTCGGGAACTGGTCGAGATGGTTTTCTTAAATTTAGCCTGCATACCAAAAAAAAATATATATTTTTTTTTTTTTTTTAAATACAAAATAGTCAAGAAATTTCAGGTATCCACAGGTTACAGAAAACATGTTATTGCAATTTAAAAACTCACGAGTTATAACTTCACTTTTCAGCACGACAAGAGTTAAACATCTTCTTCCTTCATTTTGAATTTTTTTTAGTTTATTCCAATGTAATATTTCCTTTTCGTTGCTGTGTCACATAGAATAGATCTGAAAGAGAAGGGGAAAAAAAGGAATACTTTACTGCTGAATCTCCCTGCATACAAATATTCGGACCCTGGTCCCTTTAAACTAAATGCTATTCAGGTGTCATTTGTGGTAGTTTAATTTAGTTAAACTGAAGAAGTAAGTAACATACAGCCCATTCAATTATCTGTCATTTGATACCAAGTTCCTTCTTACAAACCCAGCAATAATAATTTTAATATTTTTTTAATAAACCCAACCCTCACTCTTCAATCGCAGCTACCAGCCTTTTTAAAATTTAATTTTTGTGAACTTTTCATATATCTTGCAATCTACCTTTTATCAAAAGAGGCAAAGCTCTTAAATTTCCCGTCTCAATAAGATCCGTTTTTTTTTTTGTTAACCCTAAATGGCATGTGAATTTATAGAAAATAATGTTTCTCTCAGTTATAGAAAAAAATATGTCTATTACTAGCCCATCAAACAATGGTGGTTGCAACGATTGAACTTCCAATCCACTAAATTTACTTTAAAAAACCATGCTTTCACATAATCCACTTTTTTAAGATCGCCTTTTCGTGCCACGCCCCAGGGCCGTAACCTCAGACATCTCTGAACAAATATTAAATGTTCTGATGGCCAGGGCTTTTTCAGGCATATTCCGAGAGAGGGGGATGTTAGGGCACTACCTCCTCGGGAAAAGTTAAGTGCCCCCCCCCGGAGCAAAATGATAACAAAAGTATAACAAGTATATATATATATTTTATTAAAAACGTCTAAATTGTCATTTTAAACAGTTTTTAGAAGAATAGTATTTGGTGCCTTTATTAACGTATTACAATCATGGCAATCAATTAAATGTCGCCAAGCTGGATTTATTTGATGATCGGTATATTTCAGGTTAATTTTGTTAAAGGCGTACAGTGTTAGATTATAAATATTCCACTGGCACCCCTGTTTATTTGCCGAAGTATTACTTCAAATTGTTTGCACTTATCGGTATTTTTATTTCATTTATTTTTTTGCTACTTTACAAGTTTAAAGACTTTGATAACACCGTCTTAGACTAACGTAACATTTATAAAAAGGTTAACAATTTTTAAAAATGTTTCTTTTTTAGTATCAAACATGTGCAATCTATTTTCAAATTATATTTCATCAATAAAACATGCCTTTTAAAGAAGGGATATGTATTAATTATAAACTGTTATGATGACATTAAGCTTTGAAAAATATTGTTATTAGCATAAATATAAATTTAACCGAAACCATGTATTTCGAGTTATATAAATTTAAACCTTTAAAATTAGAATTTTAACGGGCACATACAAAAAGTGCACATTTCATCAAAATTTTAATATCTAAAGCGTTAGTGTTTTATTTAAATGTGCTACATTTGTAACAACGTTTCCGGAATAACAGAGTAAAAAAAAAATACTTAGCCTGTATTTATAATGCCGCACCTCTTGGCACGGGCATTACGGACTTGACTGCATATTGTGATTGCATGTTGTTTAGAGATTATGTGTGTTATTTTATCTAATATACTTTGTATCTTGAGACGTATTGTGTGAAATGGGATATGACGCATTATTATGATTATTGCGTATTGTGTTTTTGTGAGTAATGGCAGTTGAGATTTGTTTAATAAAGATACTGTATTTTAATATCAATAATATATGGTTTGTGAAGTGAATATAATTTAACACCTAGACAACGAAGCCATCGAACCTTCGGGTAGAACTGGGTTCGTTACATTTGGGATGTTCTTCCGGCATTGGGCTCGTTATCGATGATTACATTGTGTGATTGTATGCTGATGGTCCTGTGAATGCTGTGAGCGTTTACTGCTGTACTGCATCCCGATTGAGCATTCTTTATGCTATCCTTCGTGCCTGCATGCTGCTGTATCTGTGTGCTGCTGGTCCTGTGTCGTGCTGGATTCTTATCCTGCATTCCTGCATCCCGACTGATAGGTTTTTCACTGTCCTGTAATCTGCCGTGTCTGCATGCTGCTCTATCTGTGTGCTGCTGGTCCTGAATCCTGCTGAATCTGTATCCTGCTGTCCTGCATCCCGATTGAGCGGGCTTTACGCTACCCTGTTGTGCCTGCATGCTGCTGTGCTGTTCCCCGGTTTGACGGTAAATCGCTGCTGGGCCTGTATCACACTGTGACTGCATCCTTATGTTACTATAGTCTGCTGTGCACTGTGCTGTATCCCGATTTGACAGTGTACCGCTTTCCGTTCAACACATTAGTTACAAGAACAAGACCGGTAGTCCAGAGACCCGTGATGAACAAGAAAAAGACTTAAGTTACTTACTTTATTTGTGTTTTCTGTACAGTTAATTAAGAATCTTAATTCTGTATATAGATATATATTTCATTTTTGTGTTATATAACATTTAAATTTATTATTTTAGACTGTTTTTTACAGTCTAGTACCCTACCCTAGTCGCTTAATTTATAAAATAAAACATGGGAACCACGAGTGTAGATGAAACAGTGATCTTAGAACTAAGGGAGTTTGGAGAGGACCTGGATTATAAAGACGAAGCTCTTTCTAGATGGGTGGAAAGGAAACTGATAGAAAAAGATAGGCTAGATCGGGAGGAGATGGAAAAAGATCGAGATAGACAAGCAAAGCTAGAACGGAAGAACATGATAGACAAGCTAGACAACGAGATAGACAAGATAGGCTAAAACGCTAGAAACGAGAAAGACAAGTTAGGCTAGAAAAGCTGGCCCAGGACCTAGTACAGGAAGAGTTAAAGTTGCAGGAAAAACATAATATGTGGAGAGAGGAATTAAGTAAGAAACAAGGGGCTGAAGTTGTGAAATGGAAGAGAGAGAGATTCACGTGTTTAATGAAGCCGGGAGACCGTGGGTGAAAGTTTAAAATAGTAAAATCATTTTTGACAATGAGATTAAGTAAAATATTATTGCAGTTGTGGAGAAACTTTGGAATCTTGAGGAATTTAATGACATTATAACCGAGAATAGAGACAGAGTTATCCAAAGTGACAATAAAAGAGGTAAATTTAAATGACCATATGGTTGAGGTTAAGGAAGCCTGGAATTTTTTAATGTAGCCGATAGTCAAGAGTAAGTTAGGAATTTTGCTAGCAGGATGTAGAAAAGCTGGGTGCTGAGTGTGAGAAAATTGATGCAGTGTTGCTGAATGTAGGCATGGCACTGTGTAGTCTTGATGATGTTTCATTTGACATAGAGACTGTATATATAACTGGTTTGGTACACGAAGCAGAAAATCAATGTTGATTTATTACAAGAGGGAGATGTTGTTTTTGTACAGCAAGGAGATGTTGTTTTTGTACAGCAAGGAGATGTTTGTTTGGTAAGTAAGGAATTGTTGAATTGTTCATCAAGAAGATGTTGGTTTGGTACAGGAGGGAATTTTTGATTTTGTACAGCAGGGACATGTAGGTGTGGTGCAGGAGTGATTCGTTGATTTTGTACACCAATGAGATGCTGGTTTGGTAAAGGAGGGCGATTTTTATTTTGTACAGAAAGATGATGTTGGTTTGGTACAATAGTTTTTTTTTTTAATTTTATACAGCAAGCAGATGTTCGTTTCATGCAAGACGGAGATGATAAATAATATTAAGACTTGGGCAAGCTACCAAGATCACGAGGTAGAAGTCTTGAGCTTCAACAGAGTAGTGGTCATTGGAAATCACATTACTTGGAGCTACGAGGGTAGTCGTCCAGTCGGTGAATTTTGTGGTGTGGAAGACAATGTTGCTGAAGGCCTGGGAACCGTAGTGGTGCTGAGATTAGCATTTTTTATCCTGATTACGAACATTACGTGGAGGGTT